TTTCCCTCAGTTTTGTCAGTATCCTGAAGTAATTGTAACTGGGTACATAATACACTCAAAACTTTTTCTTCATAATTGTTCCCTTTAAAATAATGAAACAACTTTTTATATTCCTTCTAGATTATATGAAGTCTGATATGCCTCATATAAATATCATCATTCCAATTAGTGTTCATATGATTTTATTTTATTTTTTTTACTTTTAGTCTAATAGTTTATGTTTAAAATGTGTCTCCTGTAGATAGCATATTGCCTTTTAATCAAATCCAGCAACATCTCCCTCTTAAAGTATCTAGAATATTTACACTAGATGTGACTATCAATATAGTTACTATTTTCTTTTGGTCCCATGTTATTTGTTCCTACCCCCTCTTTCTTGCTTTCTTTTAGATTGTATATTTTTAAAGAATTCCATGTTAACTCCACATATTGCTATTTTTCATTTTGCTTTGTTGTACTAGTTGCTCCTGAGTTTATAGTTTGCATATTAATTTATTGCAGTCTTTCTTCAAATAATTTTATACCAACACACATCTAGTGTAGGGATCTTAAAAACATAATAATTTTTCCATATTGTTCCTATACTTTGCGCTACTGTTGTCATAAGATTTATTTTTATATGTGTATTAGAAACCTCATACTCTATTGTTATTATTTTGACTTTCAATAATCAATTACCTTTCAATGAGATTTTATTTATTTATTTTTTAAAGATTTATTCATTCATGCATACAAGAACCAGGGTACAGGTCAGATATGCGGGAGGGTGAGAGGATTCACCAGAGACAGAGCGGGTAACAGAATAGGCAGACTGCCTGAAATACACTGCTGAGGGGAGCAGCTGGCAAGACAGGAAAGGTGTGCTGCGCCATATGGGTATCTCCCCCTCAGGCTGGGATTGAACCCACGCTGCACAGGCTGCAGACAGCTTCACAGTGCTGCGCTCAACTGCCTGCGCCACCAGGGAGGCCCTTTTAATGAGATTTTAAAATGAGGAAGGGAAAACATTTTATATATTCCCACATATTTACTATTTCTCTTGCTTTTCATTCTTCAATAGAGATCTGGGCCTCCCTGGTGGTACAAGGGGTTAAGATGCAACCTATGAAGCTCTCCGCAGCCACTGCAGCACAAGTTCAGTTCCCCTGGTCGGGGAGCTACCCATATGGCACAGCAGACCTCTCCTGACTTGCCCGCTGCTCCCTTCAGCAGTGTGTTTCAGTCAGTCTGCCTGTTCTGTTCCCCACTCTGTCTCTGATGAATCCTCTCACCCCCTATACCTCTGGCCTGTACCCCAGTCCTTGTATGCATAATAAAATAAATCTTTAAAAAAAATAGAGATCCAAGTTTTGAACTAATATCACCTTCCTCTTGCCCAAATGTATGCTGAAAGAACCATCTCAGCCTTTCTATGAAGAAAGTCTTGGTTCATCTCCATTTTAGGAACACTTTCTCTGGATATAGAAGTCTAGGTTGCAAGTTTCCTTCAGCAATTTAAAAATACTGTTCCATTATCTTCTGCCTTGCACAGCTTCTGACAACAAAATGTTCCATTTGTTCCTCCAAGTAATTACCTTATTTCTCTGGCTGTTTCAATGATTTTCTCTTTGGAATTTGTTTTTAATAATTTGGTTATGATGTATCCTGGTGAGGTTTTCTTTGTGCTTATCCTGTTGAGGGATTTTTTTAAAGCTTCTTGAGCATCTCTGGTTTTACTGTAGTCATCAAATTTGGAAAAATCTTGGCCATTATTTCTTCTTTTCAGTGCCTTCCCCTCTACTCCCCCTGGGACTCCTACTACACACATGTTGTTTGATATTTTCCTGTAGGTCACTGAAGCGCTGTCCTGTCCCCTCCCTGCCCCAGTTCTTTTTTTTCCCCCGGTGCTTCATCTTGGATCATTTGTATTATTTCTGTGAGCTCAATCATTTTTCCTGAAGTATCTAATCTGTTATCAATACCAACTGTTAATTTTTCATTTAAGATACTTAATTTTTTCCTTCTCCCATCTGCCTCTTTTTGAAACCTATTTTCACTCTCCTCACTATTTTCATGTTTTTCTTTTTTTTCCTTTTTTTCCCTTTTTTTAAAAAGATTTATTTATTTACTTACTTATACAAGCACTGGGTACAGTCAGAAGCGCGGGAGGGCGAGAGAATTCACCAGAGCCAGAGTGGGGAGTGGAACAGGCAGACGACAAAATACACTGCTAAGGGGAGCAGTGGACATGGCAGGAGAGGTCTGCGCACCATGTGGGACTCTTGCTGGTGGCTGGGGATCGAACCGGCGCTGCAGAGGCTGTGGGCAGCTTTGCAGCCCAGCGCTCAACCGCTGTGTCACTGGGACGGCCCATTTTCATGTTTTTCTTAAGCACTTAAACGTAATTACAATAGCTACTTTAATATCTTTGTGTGCTCATACCATCTTTTATTATTCCTCAGTCTTTTTTTTTCCCTCTTGGTCATAAGTCACATTTTCCTGTTTCTTGATACACCTACTAATTTTTGACTGAAAGCTGAACATTAAAAATTTTATATTGTTGAGTCTAGATTTTACCGTCTTCCTTTGAAGAACATTGGGCTTTGTTATGGTAGGAGGCTAAGTTATTTGTGTCTTGTTTGATCCTTTTGAAGTTTGTTTTTAAACTGTGTTACACTGAGTCTAGAGTCGCCTTTCCTCTAGGGATTCCTGAGAGCAGAGCCCTTCTGGAATCCATATTGCATTCTCTGAGTGATGAATAAGGATTCTCCCTTATGGCTGGTTGAAACTGAATTGCCTCCCAACTGGAGTAAACACTAAGAAACATTGAGTTCCCAGCTCCCAGGGAGCCCTCTGCTCAAACTTATGTAATTTCTTCACATACACCTAACTGTTCATAAATACTCAAGTGGGTCCTCATGCAGGTTTCTGAAACTCTTTTTCTTTATAGGTCCCACCATTCTAGAATTCTGCCCTACAATGCCCAGTTGTCTGAGATTCTCTGATTTAGATCTCTCACTCCTCAATTCTACCACAGTTGTTCTCTGCTAGGAGCTTCTTGTTTATGCTCCATGGTCACGATTCTGCCTCCAGGAAGAAGGTCCAGGTGACTGTGGGGTTCATGTCATTTTTTTTTTTTCTACCAGAAGTCAGAGTCCTGCACTTCTTGTTGTCCAATGTTTATAACAGTTGTCACATTATTTTATCTAGTTTCCTATTTTTTTTCTAACATAGAAAATTTAATCTGATTTCTGTTAACAATAGCACAGCTAGACATGGAAATCTTTCTTATGTTTCCAAAATGAATTTTGGAAAACAGTTTGGCAGTTATTCAAAAAGTTAAACAGAATTACAGTGTGGCCCAGGAATTTCACTCCAAAGTATACACCCCACAGAACCGGAGGCTGGGTCTTAAAAGGGGTATTTGTATATGCACACACACGATACCCTAGTGTTAGAAGCAACCCAAGTGTCCAATGACAGATGAATGGATAATCAGAGGTGGTCTATATGGACCACGGTGGACTGTAGGAGGGAATACTACTGAGTCTTGAAAAGGAATGAAATTCCAACATGTGCTACAGCAAGCATGAACTGTGGGGATGTTAAACTTTCTGAAATAAGCAAACATCAGATGATTCCATTTATATGAAATACCTTGGGCAGGCATATTCTGGGGCTGAGAGGTTAAAGGGGATAAGGAGTTATTGTTTAATGGAATTTCAGTTGGGGAAGATTAAAAATTTCTAGAGATAGATGGTGGTGATGGTTCTATAACATTGTGCAAGTACTTAATGCTACTTAATTATTCACTTAAAATAATTAAAATGATAAATTTTTTAATTTTTATTTTATTTTATATATTTTTTACATCATTTTTCATTTTTGCACAGTGTATGCATTTTCATTTTGGTTATATTCCCCATACAGCTCCCACCCCCCCTTATTTTGACCTTAATCTCTCCTCCCCCCACCCCCAGTAAAATACCAGATGGTCTCACTCATAGCAGAAATTTAGAAAACCTAAATAAGGGACCAGGAAAAGACTAATTATAATAAAGTAAAAATCAAAATCAACAAGCAACTAAAATGATAAATTTTATGTTCTATATAGTATCGTATATATTTTACCACAATTAAAAAAAAACTGTCAAATAAAGAATCTTCCATCTATTATCAGGAATTTCCCACAAATATTTCAAATATTCCAATAAACACTGACTTTAAAATTCATACAATGTACAAAAAGAACGTGGTCTATGATCGTAAACCAAATCATCTTGGTATAAAGCATAGCACTGGCCCAAGTGGAAAAACTATAGTGAGAACGGAGGAGTAGACAATAGTAATGTATCAGTGTGAATTTCCTCATTTTGATGAAATTTGAATTTTGGACTTATTTGGAAGAATGTCACTGTTCACAGGAGATACACACGGAAGTCCAGGGTGATGGATAATCTGGTTGGTCACCTACTCTCAATATTTTGGAGAGATGAAGGCTACTGGCAATGTATCTGAAACTAAATGTGCTAAATCCAAGGTGGTGAGGAGCTGGGGGCAAGGTCTTTATTGGTGGAGATGCTGAGGAAAGAAATGTTTTCTATGGTTTCAAATTTTTAAAATATAAAATAAAGGACTTAAAAAAGATTGTGCAGAGTTATCACACTGATCTGGTAAGACTCGAATTACCCATAGTAAAATGAAGCCCTACTAGAAAACCTAAAATTAAAAAAAAAAATGAAAATTTTACCAAAACAAAAATAAAAACGTAAACATTAAAAAAATGGAAAGGATAAGACACATCTTGAAAAAGACTGAGTTTCGATGGTGACAGACTTCAGACAGATTATAACCAGAGCTGGGTGCAGGGAAGAACAGAAGAATCCTTCTGTGATGCTTTGTAAGAGAGTAAAGGAGGAAAGAGATGGACCCAGGGAGGTGGAATGGCAAGCACACACACAAAACTGCCAGCAAACGTGTAAAGAGCACCTGCTTAGAAGCCAGCTCGCAGTGGTACTTACACAATGGTTTTCCCAATGTGCAGAAATGACTTCTCTACGAATTCTCGAACGCTGTGGACTTCCCCAGTTGCTATGACAAAATCTTCTGGCTCGTGGTTCTGCAACATCAGCCACATGGCCTAGAAAGAGAGAGAGGCAAATCCATGTTAAAGTTGCACCCACTGCCACTTGGGAAATACAATGTCATCCAACACACACTATTGGTTATGGGCAATCTTAAAAGGTAAACTGAGGTACATGAAAACTTTCAAGGATTAATTTGATCATACATAGAATCAAAGCAGGCAGTGCCAAACCAAATGCTGGTTAGGAGCTGCAGCAAGGTGTTTATAGAGGAGCTGTTGAAACAAAGCAATCTAATGATTATATTGGCCATGTCTTAACGCAGTTGCCGCATTTGGGAAAACACAGTTGGCTGTGATTGGTTGTTGTTAAGTTCTGTTTCCTTGGATTCGAGTGCTCTGACTCTGACTTAGGTTTGGCGTGCTTACGTAGCTACAGGAGTTTAAATACTTTCATATGTGTAGTTAGAAAATGAGCCTTAGTTTCATGGAACAGTCTACTAAAGCCGTGGTTCTCTAATTTGCATTAGAATCTTCTAGGAGTATCTCAGTGTAGATGCCTGGGCCACAGTCACAGAATTTTGGGCTCAATAGGCAAGGGAACATTTGAGGAATCTATAACGTCCTGGGTGGTTGTCACGGAGCAGTCACCATTTAGAGAAACAAGATACTCAAGAGTACTTGTGGGGAATAGCTATCTTAGAGTGTATTTAAGAAGAATTTAAAAAGCATTGTCTCATTTTCCCTCATGTCAGATGTAAGGAGAAATCACTTAAAGACAGATGTGTTCTCTAAAGTAGAACCAAATTTCTAAATAATGAAGTTGTTTATTCACCAATCTGGTGGCATAAAAACCCAAAACTTTTAAGAATCATTAGTGCAAAAACAATCAAGTAGGGAATAGCATTACTACTTTCAAAAAGTTATCTGAGAGGCAATGGACGCATCTTCCCTAGGGTTAAGGATTTCATCAGGCAGCGTTTCAAGGTCAGATGCTCAAGGTGTCCTATCATTCAGGACATTTCTTCAGTCGGATGAGACATCTAATTGGGCAACAGGGCATTTCCAGGACAGCTGGTGGCCACCGTCAAAGACTGGCTCCCCAGTTAGGACCCTGTAGAGGCAGGACAGGACACAGTGCAGGTTTTCTGATCCCATGCAGACCGGGTAAAGGAGGAGTCAGAGTCCTCAGTGGTTTTGCAGGCTTTTATTGGGATTACCAGGTACACGGCAGGCAGGGGTGCTGGGGGGCCGGGAGGCTGGTGGTCCTCCCAGCCCCCAGCAAATCCTCACTCTGTCTGGGCTCTCTGGTGTTCTCTCTGCTTCTCTGCTCTTCCGTTTGTTCTGCTGCTTCTTGGCTTCTCTTTCAGCTTCTACTTTGGCTTCTTGGCTTCTGCTGGCGTCCCCGGGACGCCGCCCTTAAAAGCACAGTCTTAGCCCAGGTGAATCCCATCTACCTCTGCCCACACCCTATTCCAGGTGCCCGCCATCAGGCATGCATTCAGGACCGCAAGGATCCATCATCTGTCCTGATGGCAGGAGGGCAGAAAAGCCTGACATTTTCTTTACCCTACAATAAGTTAACAAATAGGTTTTTGAACTCAAGAAGACAGCTTATTTTCACTTAGCGCAACCCAAACATGTTAATTCCTCTTTGATCATCTGAATTTGGCACAGTCTTCAAATTGGTTTTTTAAGTTATCTTTGAAGTTATTTCTTTGACTTGACATTTTTTATGAATATTTTGGATTTTGGGTCTATGACAAGATTGTGTTAAGTCATATGCTTGTTCTGTGGAAGATGAGACTTGGGGCGCTTTTACATGGTTGGGAGATGCAGTGACCCAGGAGGGTCAAGGCAATAGATCCAGGTGAGCCATGTGCTGAAAGGGCTGGGCCAGGTGAGGGCTGCATTCACATTAACAGAGTAGCTGCAGCTTCATTTTGCACGAAGACATGATAGTTGATGAATTCAAGTTTTACACTGATTCTATAGCACGAATGGAAAACTGGCTCTGTTTCTAGAAAGCATAAATAACAAGATGGTCTCTTGATCGCCATGGTCTCTGTGGCAGACAGAGCACAAAAGCTTTGCAGGTCCCTGAATCCCAGGCTGGTGAACCGCCGGGTGGGAGAAGAACAGGGAGCAAACTACAGCCAGGCACCCTATGTTTAAGCTACTCAGATCGGGAGCAGGTGACCAGGCACACACAGAGGCCAGAGAGGCAGGCTTTCCAGCTGTGTCTTACACCAGCAGTTCCGGGGGCCTGGAATACACTTCTCCCTCACCTGGGAACTCTGACCTCTCTCTGCACACCCTGAGCATTGCCCCAGGTCTAATCCCTGGCAGATATTCCTGTTATCCCGCTGGGCTTCCCTGGAATCAGTGGCGCGGGGCATGGCTGGTGTCACCCTGACTGAGCCTGCGCCCTGGCCACTTCTCCCCTATGAAGCTGACCCCTTGCCCTCCCCAGTCCGTGTGGCGCACACCTCGCACACGCAAACTTGGGTTGGCTTTCTTCGAAATACTTTCAACAATTTTAGGAAAAATTAAATTATGCTTCTGGCCAGAATTTCTATTTGAACATTTTTCTGAGGGATTAGTGTATACACTTAAACAAGTTTTACTCAAATTTCCATTCTAAAAATAACATTTCAAATAGGTCTTTCAGGACCGCTCAGCTCGTTTTCTTTCTTTTGAAACGCTATGTTGTGTTAAAAGGTTTTGAAAATTGCGTATTTTTAGGCATGTGAAAGAAAGCAAGGGTTTGCTAAAAATAAAAGGAGAAAATATGATTACCGGTTATTGGTAGATTACTTTAAACACTGGCCACAAGTTCCCTGGTGCTTGTTTTGTTCCCCGACAGGAATCTGGGATCAGTAGGAGCCTCTCACTTTCACTAGCGTGAGTGCCAAGAATCTGCTCTTTTCTTTCCATCAGACTATCTGTGACCTTTGACCTATCAATTTCTAGGCATTTCCTCTAAAGTTCATATTGTACCAGACTCCAGTCTGGGAATGGGAAGGAAAGGATATACAACTCCAGATTTATTTGTTATTGCTGAATAGTTTACTGGTTTTAACAGAGGGAAAGGGCTTTGTTTAAATTTCCACTGAGCATAATTAATGGTTATTGACTGGTAAATGAAGAACAGGTGACACTCTGGGGCAGAAGATAAATGATCTCGGGCTCTGGTGTGATAATGGGTGAGTAATTTGCCACCCAGCCGAGGCCCAGTGCATCCCATCTTAATGCCAGATCATGTCCAGGACACAAAGGCCCCTGTGTGAGAAGTCCTCGGCCGGTCACCTCCTTGTGCAGCTGCACCCATTGATTTGGTCCATTTATTCTCTGATGGAGGGCGCAGCTGAGGCGAAAGTTCAGCCCTCCTTACCTTCCTGTTCACATGCTGAACAGCTGACCCATGACACGGCCGGGCCAGGGTCTGCGATCACACCGCCACCCGGCTTCAGCTTCCGACTGTACAAACCAGTGTGAGGTTACGCGGTGTAGACGTCAATCTGCTCTCTTTGTCTCCCAGGGAATGAAGGAGGAAAAAGACAGTGTGTTCCCACATTCTTTCAGTGCCCTTGACGGCTGGAACTGACTTATCCTCTTCCTCGGACACTTATTTACTCTCCGCCCTGACCTGACCACCAGTGCGAAGGAAAAACCTCCTGCTTTTCAATGCATCCCACAGGGAGGTGAGATGATAAGGAATGTACCAAGGCTTCAGATTCTTCAACATAAAAATGTCCCTTAATGGCCAGTGAATGGGGTGGTTTTCACATTGTGTCTCACATGCATGTTGCTTTCAAGATAAGGTTTAGGGGAAACCTGACTCCATGCTGTGGACATTTGAAGGCCAAGTCTGGATGGGTATAAACACTCCTTAGATTTGGAGGTGGGCTCTATTGAAACTGTGTAATTAGCCGATCTGTTCTACTAATCTAATGTAGAGAAGACAAAATTAAACATTAGTTAAGAAGTTTCATGTGAAAATGAATGCTCCTTTCCCATAAGCTGGTCTCTAGCTATTTGAGCCATGAATGCGGAAGCCGGGAGGGGGCTCATGCCTCCCCCGACTCGGAAGCTCTCAGGCTGCTGGCAGCTGGGCCAGTGAAGGAGAACACCCCAAGCACATCACCACAGCCCACTAACTACACCTGACTCCATGCATGCCTTTTGGGGTGTGATGTGTGTTTGTCTTAAAAGTCTGGATTCTACAATGGCTTCTACCTTGCCATTAACCTCCAGTTCAGCATCCAAGCCGCAAACATTTATTAACTGAGCTGTCATCCATGAATAACAAGATTTGTTAATCAAGGTTATGTTTAACTCTGTGTATTTGACAGCTGCCTTTTCAGCCCTGTGCTTTTGTGCTTTATGCATTACTATCAGAAAAGCCATCTGAAAATAGAACTGTATCTATGTCTTGATTTATAGATCCCAGGGGAGGAAGTCTGTGAAACAATTCTAATAAAATTCAGAGGAATCTGAAGGAATGAAAATGAAAATTCCCAATAAAGGCTGCCAAGTCTGGATCCACTCACATCCATTTTGTCTTTAAGCTTTGTTCAGTGGCTGTTTTCATGATGACAGACTGATGTTTACACTTGGGGTCAGGATTTCAAGTCCTGTACTAGTCCTGGCCTTATTATGCTTTGTGGGCCCACGTAGGTAGGTCAAGGGTCAGCCTGGGAGAGGATTCCACAAAACAGAGTCAAGACGCAAGCCATGTACGCTGATGTAATTGGGAAACAGTACCAAGTGACTAATAAAACCATATCAAGAAAATCATCTAACATAAAACCAGAAGCTGGCCTTTACAACTTCTGAATTGATTCATTTTCTTTCTGGGCAAAAGCACTATGCTGAAAGGACTGCTGGGAGTGAGGGTCTTTTAAAGAGATAAAGTTACTGAACAAGAGGAAAAACTATTAGTTAATACATTTATAAAAAACACCAATGAGTACAGAACACACGTTAGAAAACTAAGTAACTCAGCTCTTGATTTTAGCTGTTAATGTATGGTTCTATGTAAATACCATATGCAC